CACAGTCGACAACTCAGCAAGCCGATTGGAAGATTTTTATCAAAGTTGACCTGGTTCGGTTCGAGACTTGAATACCCTTTTTTAGACCCTTAAAGAATGGTTAATTATATTGAATGTTATTCCGAGTTGAATTGCACATTGTTGAAAGCATGTGTACCTACAATCATTAAATATTTGATTAGAATATAATTTTGAAATGATCTATTGCACTACTCAAGTATGTTGAATTTCAAAATGATTCTTTATACATACGTTGTCTTTTTTTTATTTAAAAATAACCTTTTTTTGTTTTAGTTATTAGTAGTTAGCTAATTTTTGTCACACAATCTTGACTCATATTGTTTATCTCTTTCTAGTAACAAAAATCAATAAAAATTGGGCAAAAAAAGATAAATATTATGAAATTACAATTGTGAATAAAAACATGTGTCGAAGCACGTTTTTTATTTAATTGCCATGGCTGATAAGGATGATTCTATAGCTAACTTTGTCAACGTAAATCGTCGTTTATGGAATGACAAAGTTGATTATCATGTTGTATCACCAATGTATAATGTGGCTGGTTTTCTTGCTGGTGCTAATTCATTAAATAAAATTGAAAGTGATTTATTAGGTAACATACAAGGTCAACGTATTCTTCATTTACAATGTCATTTTGGACTTGATTCACTTTCGCTTGTTCGATGTGGTGCACAACATGTTACTGGAGTTGATCTATCCGATCGAGCTATTGACAAAGCTCGAGAATTAGCTGAAACTCTTAATCTTACAACATCGACAAGATTTATCTGTTGTAATATCTATGATTTGCAAGAACATTTATCATGTGATCAAGATGAACTATTTGATATTGTTTACACTTCTTATGGTGTTACTGCTTGGTTACCTGATATTAATAAGTGGGCATCTTTAATTTCTCGATATTTGAAACCAAATGGTATTTTTATTATAGTAGAATTTCATCCTGTTCTATGGATGTTTGATGATATGTTTTCACGTATTGAAGAATCATATTTTAATCAGAAAGCGATCATTAGTCAATGTAATGGTTCTTATGCTGATCGTAATGCTCCAATATCGAATTCAAGTGTTGAATGGAATCATAGTCTTAGTGAAATTGTTCAAGCACTTATTGATCATGATCTTCGAATTAATGTTCTACAAGAATTCGATTATTCACCATATGATTGTTTTCTAAATACTGTTAAAACAGACGACGGATTTTATCGAATTAAAGGTTTGGAAAAGAAATTACCTATGATATATGCTATCAAAGCTACTAAATCTGTTTAAGATCAATAGTTTTTAAAATATTCATTTGTTTTTAAGGAACATTTTTGTTTAGCATGTTAAGAAAAAAAAAAGGAAATAAAAATTAATGATGACAACGAAAAATAGATTATAGCTTGATACAATTTACAAACGTATTTTCTTTTAGCAAGTTATAATTAATCTGTGTAAAATATTTCTACAAAGATATTTTGTATTTATTATTGATGTCTCATCGTAGAGTATACTGTAAAAAGCTTTACTCTATGAAATTTTGTTAATGGTTTATTTGAAGAAAATAGAATATTTATTTGTGTACTCTTGACAATATGCTGTTTAATTGAGTCAAATATTAAACTTACATTCGATATTTATTAAAGAGAGTAACAGATATTTTATGTTTTTTTTTATTGTGCCTCTTGTAACTGCATTCATCTATCCTTGTATATTTATGTCTGGTGTATGTTAGATCCATTATTTATAAGTGATTCTAAATATTATTTTTGTTAGATCAATAATATTTTATTATTCTAATCAAATAAAATGACATAATGACGCTCTTGACATTCTTATTCAATAAAATTTGTAAATGATCAAATAAAAAACAATTCAATTCATCTTTTATATTTTCGAGCATGATAATTGAATCAATTTTTATTTCAAATATGTTTTGATAGTATTCTTCTAACAAAACTAATAATAATTTCTCTATTCTCATAATAATTTATGAAGAAAAAAAAGTTCAATTTTCTATATATTTGTATTTGATGTAATTTTAAATATAAAGATGATTATTGTTTTTCATCATCAAATCTTGAAATCCTATCACAATCCTAAAAGAAAAAAGTTACGATGAAATAAAATAATTGACTATATAACTAGTTAGTAGCCCGTTTAATGTATAACAATCAATAATTGCAAAACAAAGTAACCAATAAAGTTAAAATCGATCAGTTTTATAACATTCTTAAGAATTCTCTATTATATTGGGTATCAATCATCACTATTATTATCATCATGAAAACAATAATATTCATTTCATTTTTACAACTACTTGGAAATAATATGCCTATAACCTTTTTCCGGTTAATTTAATAAGAGTACTCTTTTGATGACGATGACATACTTGACTAAAAGTATAAAAAGGTGAGTTCAATAATATTTTTTTGAAGATGTTTTGAAATATGATAAAAGAGTACATCAACAACATCATTATTGCAAACAATGACATTTTCTACAATCGTTCAGAACTAATAGACAATAAGATATAAAAATGAAAGAAAAAAAAAACATATTTCTTATATAATATGATCTTTCATTGAAATATTTTAATTAGAGGCTTGAATAGAGTAATGTTGAGCACAATGTATCTGTTTCTCATAAAATACATAGAGATAATTCAATTATTAAGCCTTTACAACACTAACAAAATATGTTTTGTATAACAGAATCGATAGACAAAATCAGAAACTTTGTTTTCATCTTCTGATAAGTCCAACTATAACACTAACTATAACCATATTATTGTACATTGTAAAACAAAAACTTTTTTAGCATTTCATAATATAGTTATCAAACGAAAAATGCGAAGCATGCTCAGCTTCGATGGAAGGTTTTCCCTGCAATTCAATCCTACACATATAATTGTCCCTTGGTGAGACTGTAATACTAATATTGTTTGTTTAATAGCAAGGTCAACACACATAATCATAATATTAAACAGTTAAAATTAATCGAGTGTAGTGTAGATGAACATCAAGCAAGAAGAAAAGATTTTTTTTTCAACCGAATCAAATAACAATATCGATGCAACTTGAAAATTTAACAATAAGAATAACAAATTTTACAAAGTTATCGATAAGATTTCCATGAATAGAAAAGCACAACTGTAGTATAAAAAGGTATTGTTTCTTTCAAGAAAATTCATATAATCATTTTAGTTATAGTTATTTGTACGATTCTAATATTATCTATGATTGTTATAACTTTGTTAAAAAGATCATATTCAAATAATATTCTCACAGCTATTCTCGATTTATTGGATTAGAAATGTTTCTTTTCATTGCAATGCCTATACATGTTAAGTATTTACAAATTTTATTTATCATTATTAAAAGATAAAATATTACTTGATCATACACTTGATATAACTACTTAAAATAGCATATCAAAAAAATTGTTTTAGCATAGGAAAAAAAAAGTAAAACAAAAAGAGCTCATTGAAAACACAAGATACATTATGATTACTATGGCTGGTTGACTTTTAAGAATTCGAGTTTTCGTAAGATCTGTTGATATCATTGAGAAAAACAAGTTTTCTTGTGCCATATATATTATTTTCAAATACTTATCTAGAAGAAACATAAAAAACACAAGGACAATAATGAAGCTGAACGGACTCAAAATCCCTGTACTAGTCAACGCAATATTATATAATACATCAGAGCTATCTATTGCTAAATTTGTTATGTCAAGTGTAAAATTAATCAATGTTAAAAGAAGCATAAGTGTTACCAATATGCAACGTGATTACATAAGACTATGCAAGATGTCAATGTATTTCTCTAGAAGTTAATCATCGTTGTTGTCAAATAGTATGAATATTAGTAAGTCTACTAAATGATGGAGTGGATGATGACAATACATAGCAAAAATTGTTCTCAAAACTTGTTTAAAGAAATGAGTGTAAGTTTTAGAGATGCGAAATTAGCCGTTATAACAAAAATTTTCTTTGTTATCAATATAAATCAAATACAGAATCCTTTTTCTTCATTCACACATTTAGAAAACATCGAAAGACAAATTGATTTACTTTATGTACAAAAAGGCTCATGAAAAAAACTAAGCTTTATTAATCATTATTTAATAGAAGCTGCTTCGATACTTTCTACTAAGAAATAAATCATAGAAATTGTATACGAAGCTTATTCTCTTATTACTACAAGAAAAACATTTCTGTATTCATGTTACCAAATGCAACAATTTTCCTATAAGAAACAATCCGTTCTACAAATTTGAAACATTTCTCAACATGCGTTGATGTACAACGATAAATTCTGTACGTCGACTAAGTTTATGGGTGTATCATCTTGTTTTGTAATTCATAAAGAAAACAGAGTGACCTTACAAGAAGTATTAGACAGAGAGACAAATACAAGAAGGTTGCTTGGCTAATATAAAGCTAAAGTTTGTTGGGCGATATTCTTTTCGCTATCCACTATCTTACGACATCTATGGTATTTGATACGATAAAACAAAGATTTGTTTTATCTTATTCCAAAGTCGTTTTTATTCATTGAAATATTTTCATATAGATATAAAAAAAGTCCGAACGAGTCACTTGAAAGGTCATAATGGTCGAATAATTCTCCAATAAGATGATTTTAACCTTAACATCCGTTTTTTCTCCTCCTCCGTCCCTACATTTCACCTGTTTTGGTTGTTGATTATTGCGTCTATCGTTAAGTTTTTTTTATTTATTATCCTCATTAAGTCAATACAATAAAATTCGATTTAAATAAGTAAAATCTAATATGGATGATAAAAAAATTCTCATTAACATTTTTTTTTTTTAGTTAAGGGCAATGTGATGAGTTCTTCGACATCGAGTCGATATCGAGAATCAGCTGCAGTGACAGCACCAACTAAAGTTCATGATCAGCACGGAACGTCATTTGCTGAAGAACACGCACTTGATGCTATTGCTAAAGAAGTTTGTATCTGACTATTTTTATTAAATTAATTGATCTTTATTTATCTGTTATTTATATCAAGGCCGAACTTCGTTTACAACATCAACGTGAACAAAATCGTGAAGCACGTCAATTACGGCATAAAGAATTAGAAAAAAATGCACGAGATGTAAGCAAAAAGAGTTTTTGTTTTTTTTTGTTGTATCTATTACATCGATTTTTTTCTATTGATTTCATAAATTTCTTGTTTTTTCTTTTTTATAAATATAAAGGATTTATCTGCTGTTGATTCTGAATTAAATAAAAGTGATCAAAATAAACATGAGGAGGAAGACGAAGAAGAGGAGGAGGTGATTATATCACTATGGTAGAGTTTAAACAACTATATATGTAGTTAAATTCTTCTTAATTATTCAATTCTAATTCTTTTTGCTTGACTGCTAACAAAATTCATATATATATATCCTTATATTTTTTGTTATTTAGCCTATTTATTTATAATTTTTAGGATGATGGTGGAGATTCAAGAACAACTCCTATTACTCCATCGACACCTATGGGTTCAAGTCGGGTAAATATAATTCAATAATTATTTGATTATTTTTGAAAAAGAATAAAATAAAATTTTTATTTTAGTCTCGTATAATGAATATTGATGGAACAAATAATAATGCTATGGGAACAACAACGAATTCGTTATTATTACAAAAATTTCTTAATGGCGATATAGATCTTCGCTCAATTGAACAACGTGATTTACGAGTATGAATTTTTTAGTTTTATTATTATTTTATTAATTATTAAATTATAATTTTTTTGTTTTTTGTTCTTTTATTTAAGCGTCTTTTAAGTGAACTTGAAGCAAAATATAAATCAGCGATGATTGCAAATTCAAGCATGTATAATGAAAAACAAGCATTACGGTATCAAGTTGATACATTTAAAGATATATTAGATGAACATTATGAAACATTAAATCAAGCGAAAAGACAACTCAAAGAAAAAAGCAAAGTAATTATAATTTTTATTTATTTAATATACTTATTTAAACTGTTCACTTTCTAAAATCTAGAAGATTAGCAGCATTTCACTAGAATAATTATACATAAAGAAAATTGTAATTAATTCTATCGATTTTTTTTCTCAGATCTCTATCGTTTTTTATGCAAAAAATTATTTACAAGATTTTAAAGGCGATTACTTTAATAAATTGACCCGTAATTTTTTTAGCATTACTTTTCTTTTCTGAAGTTTTTTTTTATTCATATAAGCGACGTGTGGCTTTGATTTTTTTTAGGCGATATTGTTAAACATAGTGTTCAGGTATCTGAT